AGTACTTATTAATAAACCTATACTAGTATTGTTAGACAGCGTGTGCGTCACAATTTTTATTGGGATAACGAAGCCTGTCTGTTTCGGTGGATTATCATGGGTGGAATTAGTGATTCTGTCGCCTTTCTGTACTTAAGGGAAGGTGGACTAAATCGGCAGAAGGGCGAAAATAAATTTGATTTTTTTATATAATTAGCACTAATGAGTAAGCAGAACTATGCCTAACTAGGTCTAGATAACGGAGGTAGAGCGATTGTGGCTGGCTGCAGAATAGTCCGTTGTAATATCCACAGCACACCTAGCTTCAATCATATTCTCTACCTTCCAAAAGGGGCGACCGAACTATACACACCCTTGACAAAGTGGAAACACCGGCTAGAATATCGACTCTAGATATAATGCCAGCTCTGTGCATACAACCGCAGAAATATAACTATCATGTGGACATCCCTATCATGCGTAGCCAGAAACAATAGTTAATTCGTGTAACCCCACCCACCCTATTACGCGTCAGTACTACGTAAGCATTGTAACATCACAACACTGATAATCATTGAAGAGGAGCGAAGATAATTGGCACACATTCTTTTAAGTAAATATATATTGTGCAGATCAATACTCCTCAGCTAGTGTACACCTATATTATATCCGCACAAGGGCAGGCGCGGGTAGAGCGGGAAAACACCCCATAGCTCTGTGTATACAATAGCTTAGTGTAACTGATCTGGGCTTTTGCCCACTGAATCGATATGTATCAATGAGCATTGTAATTAGTCTTCCTACAGACAGGAGGGTATGGCTGTCAATAGTATACTTAAGTAACTCGCAAGGGTAATATAACATAATCGGTAAACAAGCGGCCACACACATGAGATTTCTACGCGTCTGTTTTTTTGAAGCTATTCAACCACCAGTCATACGACCAAAAATGCCTAAGTTATCAAAATCTACAGTGGAGCAAGAAGACAGAGTCTTATTAGCTATATCAGCTATTAGATAAACTAAAATTGTTACTATTTTTGAAGTAGCTCGCATTTTTAATATACCCCGCACAACCCTTTGGATACCTAGCAGAATATATATTTCAACCAGATTTACACGCAAATGGTCATAAATCGACTACTGGTAAAGAGATATTGCTGAAAGAACAGATTCTATCACTAAATAAATATAGAGTACCGCCCCCCCAGCCTGTATATATATAAGAAATAGCCAATATTCTACTTTCAAACTATAATACTGCTTCTCCCCCTATTACTATAGAGGAGAAATGAATATACAACTTTACCAGATATATACCTGAGCTTACAATCTACTTTCCACGTCGCTACAACTATCAATATACTAAAATAGAAGATTCTAAGATTCTAGATACTTGGTTTGAGCAGATAAATAAAGCTGTTCAGAAGTACAGTATAGCTTCAAGTAATATTCGCATTTACCAGCGCGCGGCCGTTTTCGGCAGTCACCCAGTCTGGGTTTAGCGCCCGTCCGACGGTTGCCCGTAAAGGCTTAGCGTTGACCTGATCAGATCTAGCTCATCGCTCTATCCCGCAACGGGAATTGCCACCTGCCTCCGCCCTTCCAGCCCTGTGTCGACTATATAAGATTGCCGGTGTGTCGCTGAATAACTTCTTTCTACAACCTTTACTTCCATTATAATTTGCCTGGTTCTAGGTCATTCGCGCCATCCGGAGCTCATCACTCCGACCCCTGTCTTCTCGCAATAATACCCTCAGAATGAGTACACACAGCTCTGTCTCCCCCCACTTTCGACTGGGTCCGCTCAAATCCGCTGCCATCGCTTGAACGAGCTGACGCTGCAAGATACTACCTGACTGGATAAATTGGAAGCCTGTACTGAGCGCAGCAATGTATTATATGGCTGCCTATAATATTGGCCCCCAAAATGGCTCTCTGCAGCTTGATGAGGTCTGCTGATATATATCTCGGCCCACAGATCTTTATATCCGATTTGCAAGCTTTGGCTGGAGCTGTTTCCAATTTTATAAAATACACATTGTGTCTTTCCCTGCAATGTTCCAACCTGCTTACTGAAACCTGAACACCAATCGCAGAAATGCCTCAGTACTAGATCTTGTCTTCGGCAATAGGTCTCCGCTTGCGTGGCTTGTACTAGGATTATATCAACCTTTATTCTGTTGTGTGATTCCCTTGAATCGACCACAGAATAGTCCGGTTGGTGGAATAGGATATAGTTATATTCGGACTTTGAGAGTTACAGGCACCGAGATTACAACTATTAGTGGCTATACGGGCTCGACTACAATATTATATGATATATCCTCCAAATCTATTAAGAAGTAATTGTCCTTGATTGGTTTCCAGGATACTCCAGCTAACATAGCCCAGTCTCTAAGTATACCGCTTCGACCTTGGAGTTTCGCGATCTCAGGTCTTTTATATAATAATAACTACTGTAATAAGTCTATGTGGCTGCCACTGACAGGGATTATAGCAGTGAGATAGCAAGCCCCGTAATAAAATATTACTATTTGGTTTTTCAAACGAATATATATCTTAGCGAAATATGAACAACTCAGCCGTGAACTCTGACAGCGTCTGTGGGCTTTTGTGGCAATCTACCAGTATTCACTTGAGTCACCTATATCTCCCTTTTATGGCTCCCTTGTATATCTATTTAACCAGTCTCTTATGCTTCACTTCGAGTCCCTTTGTCGCTGCCTTCAGTATCAGATTAACCCTCCCTCTTATATATCTGCCCTTACTATTATCTTTTTTATTACTCTTCCACTATTCTTCCGTATTCTTACTATTCCTTTTTAAGACTGTTCAAACCATGTCTGTCAATCTTGATAATATCCACTTCTACTACCAACCCCCTCCTCCTAAACCATCTCTACCCACTTCCTGTTGGATGCCCTATCAGACCCCTTCAGCACAACACAGCTTTTCATATCCCCTCCCATCTAAACTATCTGTTGATGCAGCGGCGACCCTCTCGATATCAGATAGGGGTCCTACCCAACAACCTCAGACTTCTATAAGAGAAGATAATATTTCATATATAACAAAGATTTGTAATAAGTTTAATATTGAACTTGAGAGACTGTCTATAACAGGAATTACTGCCCACACCCGAATAATGCACCAGCCAAATCTGGGGAGACCCTGTGATGATATAGCCCCCGATGGAGCTGTTAGGGATTTTACTCAGAATCAGAACACGTCATATATTGGTATGTAGAATGCGAAGTAGATATATTTTATACACATGGCTGACTTTTCACCTGATATGCTCAGTAACGCGGGAGCCAGCACAACCAGAGGCAAGTGCCAGTGGTGACAATAAAACTATATCTCAATCGAGCATCCAACAAAACATCTCACAAGAGTGGCCAAGCCGGGAGATATGTCAATTGGTGGGGGATGTCTGTTCTTCAGACCCAGCATCTATAATAGCAGAAGTAGAGCAGGATCTTTTAGATAGGCATGGTCTACTACCCTCTGTGCTTAGCCCCTTTCCTAATATATTCCAGGTCTATCTATTGCCACAAAGTTACGCTGAGACAGTATCCTGTCACCAGAGAGCTGTAGCAAGATCAATACACAGATATCTTCTCCGGCAGCTAGCTCCCATACTGCATATATCTCTCGATCACCTTCAGCCGATTTATCTGTGTTGTTCAATACATCATCACACTCTCCAGACAAATCTCGTACTAAAACTATAAAATATGATAAAGCAACTCTCCGAAATATCAGGAATAAGGTCAGAAATTATGAAGTTCAAGGAGAGTGCCTGGGGGATAAGACGGCTATAGCGCGAAATGTTAAAAACAACAGATCGTCAATTACAACAAGGCCTTGTCCAGCAAACAATACAGAAAGTAGAATCTTAAAAGAGATCCAGCTATCTGTAGTTTCCAGTCCCAATCGTCCACTATATTCAACCAGATTCTCGAAAATACCTCCGACATGCACCCGCTCCCTCCGCCCTCGGCCGAGTGCAAATACTAACCCAGAACAACTACCCTCCGTTTCTATAGTAATTATAGTCTGTGAATCTGATAAATTGATCGCTGATACTACAACAAATTATCAAATCCGAAATCGAAACGATAATCGACAGGACGGCAGCAAATGCGACAATACTGACAATTGTACAGGAGTACGGGACTTTCCTAATAAGCAGTACTGCTTTGAAGCAAAACAGCCGCGTAAAAGACACAAATCTGGAGCACTACTGAGAAAAGCAATAGAAAGTAATCCTGATTCAACCAAACACACCACTGGGAAATGTGCGAACACATTCCAAAATCTTTCCAACAGTGACAAAACCACCGCGAACGAAGCACAGGAAATCTTTGGCTGAGGGGTCTTACACATCCAACCGCACGGCTGTCGATGTACTTACTCTTTTATATTCCTTCCAGAGGCTGTTTACAGCGAACTACCGTTACCTCCGCCGCGGGTATCTTCTGAGCATTCAACATGCTCCGATAGTCGCTCTCAGAGCCAGACTTCGCGACGAGCAACGCGCAGACGGCGATATAAGCGAATACCTTATACACCCACAGAGAATCAACATTTGACCGAGTTAAGAGGTCAACACAGTCTTCCCTGACGAGAAGTTGCGAAACATTTCTAACATCGGACCCAGGCATCTCTTCAAGTTCAATATTCCAAGATACACCGTGAAGCTGTGGGTAAGCTTTGAGAGATAAGGCCCGATTTATTCGTGGAAGGAACATCTACTCCCACTATCATTGCAGTATACATTGGCTTTGTCCATGGGATACACTGGACATTGGACAGATAATTATCTGGGATTTGCTTTAGTCCAATGCGAGAACAGATTCATAGGTCACAACAATCTGTATTTAGAATGGTTAACTTATTGTCGGCGAAAGAGAAATTAAGAGTGGAGAGTCGGCATACATCTTTTCTATATTAGAGTAGCTATCACATTTAATGTAACATTCGGTCTTTCTGCTAATACAACCTGCTCATCCTATCTATGTAGCTCCTCTCAACTTTGCAGCCTGCAAGGTAAGCCAAGTAGCTATTGTATAGAACAACCCGTTGTCATTCGTCATCTCATTATTCGACACAGATGACGGGGAATACCATGGTTCCATTAGAGCGGTGGCAACGAATTCTTCCTTCGTTATCTTACCGCTGTCTATAAGCGCTTTTCTCTCCTCCATTTGCTCCAAGGCTTCATTATAGTTATCCAACTTATTGATCTTCCGCGACGCGAACACCTCAAGCAATTCTGGTTGGTCAAATTCCCTCTCATGCTTAACCCACTCGCTAGACCCTACATGTTGATGGAGCTTAGTAAAAGGAAAACTACGATGGTCGTTGAAGCCAGATAAGAGGAGCATGTGTAGCCATATGGCTCCAGAGGCTTGCGACCACTTAACAAGGCTAGATAGCTCTCTCTCCTCGTGGCCTGGTATCTTTGTCTCTTCCTTCTCCAAAATATGTATGAAGATATCTAGGTACTTAAAGTATCGGGGAGTAATCTTGGGGGGCTCTTCGCCCTCGTAGTCCCATGTGCTGTTAACAGGTCTGTCTTGGAGAAGCTACCACGGTGCCGAGCCAAACAGCTGCGCGGGTCCAATATATGACCACTCAAGATCTACTACTCCAACAACAGTAAAATCTCCTTCGCCACGAACAATTAGATTCGCCAAGCCAAGATCGTCATAAATTAATTTAAACTTGCAATGATCATACTTTGTATTGATCAAGTCAGGTATTAAGGTTTTTAGAACCTTGAACGCCACGTATTTGTTCTTAGCATTGTATTCACCAATAATTGAGTTTGGCTGGTGAACAAGCTGTTCCTAGTCTTGCCCGACAACATACTAAAAATACTCGGTGGTCGTCGTAAATCCCTGAGTTCGGTCACCTAGGAATCGTTCCTTAGTCAACACAGTCGATTAATCAAGATATTAAACAAGAAAACAACACATACCAAAAGTATCAACCCCTCCATTCTGTAGAATGCTATGTGCCTTAAAAGTTAGTGGCCGTGGCAGTGTAGGGCCATGGACTTCAGTTTATGGCGAAGATAGGCTACCGATCTGATCAAAATCGAGCTTGAAAATCTGAAGGAGAAAATTTGCCAACTGTCTATAGATATTTTCAATATTAAGATCGCTGATATCCTCCCTCATAACTCTACTGGGGCGATCGGTACTGGGATCCCGAAGAAGATCGCTAAGGCTCACACCGTTAATAAAGTCCATCATGATAAACGGACCGAGGCCAAGTGGATTGCTGGTAGCGGGACCCCACGCCTAGACTGTCGGGACGGGAATAGTAGTCCTGTCGCGGATAAGACCCAGAGCCGTTATCTCCATCGCAATCTTCTTATCGGTGTAGTCATCACAGACCATTCCTGCGCGAGGGAAACGAACCATCCAGGCCGTAGTGTCACTAAAGACCATCTTTATGCCAGCGTTGAATGCACCGTGGTGGAAGGTACCATCAAGTTTACAGGGAAGCTTGTTGGGATGGAAAGAAGACACCCATTAACAAAGACAACCCGTTCTGTGGGTCTCATTCACCTTATCAACCCAGAGCTGGCCCTGCACCTCGTGTACGAGATCAATAAGTGCATTGGTATCCATAATGCCAGAGAGATTTCTGATAGCTAAGTAAAAGGATTTGTAGCGATACAACTCTAGCCAGTAGATTTGTTTAGGGACAAGTGAGGTGGACAAGGAAGGGGGGCTAGCCAATTTTATAATCGGTTGGCACGAGTATCGCTGCCTCAGGCACAACTCCATTTTCTCGGCATAGTATCTATTATAACATTAGGCACACAGTTCATTGGTTCAGGTATTTGAATGTTTTATAATTATCTCAAACACGCTAGTACTCCCAGATCCCAGCAATATTGTCTAAATAGCGCCATCAAGTCAAATGTATTTCGTCATAACGTTATAGATAGAAAGGATAGAAATTTAACATTTAAAGTCGCTTATTTAAAAGTTGACTTAATGCTACAGAATATTAAGAACGGAAATCAAATAACCAATTTATAGATACATCAACACAGGTTTGTCAATAGGTCTTGTAAAGTTAGGCTAGAGACAAAGATACACTTCCGCAAGAGAACTAACTACTCGACAAGAACAATCCACTGAAAGCGCCGGAATCACAAAGTCAGAGGAGCTAAGGAGTAAATATTGACTGAAATATTCTCTCTCGGGATAGATCTCCCAGGTTGATAGAAAAGAATTTACATTCCAAAGACAGTAACGACTGAAATGGAGCAAAGTTATGGGTATAATGGTAGAAACAGTGGTCAAGCTTCTGGCTACAGACTACCAGCAAGGCTAGGTAACTAGTCCGAATGGTAATCTATCCGGACTTTCCGCTCTTTGTTCATTGATAAGTATCGGTACAACAGATTGGAAAGTTAGGGTCGGGGACAAACAGTAGTATCTCCCTCCTTTGCGGCCTTCTCTTCAGCCTCGTGTTTCGCTCGTATCTCTTTATTCCTGCGACGCTTCTTAATAGAGGAATTGGCAGTGTCAACCATCTGTCCAATGGCATTGCTCCCTGCGGTAGCAATCGCGTTATTCACTTCCCTTCTGGCGTTGGGATCAATGTTGTCGGACATTGTGGACAGTCGTAGAGTAGATTATGAGTTTGGCTGTCGAGAGTCAGGCTAACGTTCGAGACAACTAGCTTTGAACAGGAGGTGATATAAAAGGGGAAACACAAATACAGTACTTCTACCTCAGTTGTAGTCTAGATATTTCTAATATAGTTTGAATAATGGGACAATAATGAGAGGACCATTATACTCTTCTTATATCGTATAGATCCTTAGAAAAAGGTACTATTTTCACAAAAGTATCAACTGCTACTAATAAGAGGGTAATAGGATATAAGCTCTTAGCGATTTTGCTTTTGCTGTTAGCAATAGCGATATCTAAAAGATACTATTGGATATATGGCTCCCAAAGCTAGTTGAATTGACGAGTGTATATTATGTCTGTATCTTACATTCTAGTAGTCCAACCAATCAGAGCCTGATATGGATGTGATGAGATGCGGATCTTGTGAGTATCGAGGCTCTATGAATTGCGGTTAGCTATCAAATTATCACATTGTGTAGCCTTATCTCTGGTCCAAAACGCATTACAGACCTTCCGGCAAGTGCGAATATGCAGCTAGCACTCTTAGACTATACTACTCATTGATTCCGGGTTGGTATATGTAATGTATGTAGTCGACTCTTTGATGTACATGAAACGCTAGAAACCAAGCTGATCTGAATGGTTGGACATGCAATCTCTACGAAGATAACAGGATCAGGTAATAGTGCTAGCTTGGCGTATATTGGGCTATAGCCCTATCCCGTCTTATTTTATTTTTATTAATTTAACTTGTCCAACGGCCTACAGCTTTCTAGCGCCTATAGGAACCTAACAGAGAACTAAATATTGTGAGTGGACACCCGCAGTCACTCTACACAAGATTTGGCCACCCCGCAGATACTAGTAGTAGCTAGTCCAGAGTGTAACGGGTTCATATAATTGATCATTGAGGTCTCTCTTGGGGACAAAGCGTCCAATGATATTTCTGCTTTGCTTTCTGTGGGCTGCGGGAGACCTGTAGTGTCTTCTAGGTAACCAATAGATAATACCAGAGAATGAGCGTTGAGACTCGATAATATTTTCTGTATACAGGGCGACACAAATGCATCGGGTATAAGGTGTATGTAAGGCTAGCAGTTAGCTATTTCTTGCTGTTTCACTCACTTTCTCGCCCCCTTTCTCCCTATCTCACCCCATCTCACCCCATTTCGCCTCATTTCTCCCCATCTCATCCCATTTCTTCCCATCTCACCCCATCTCACCCCATCTCTCCCCATTTCACCCCATCTCTCCCCATCTCTCCCCATCTCTCCCCATCTCTCCCCATCTCTCCCCATC